CCAAAAAAAAAAAAAAAAAAAAAATACCCTAAGAAAAAGTAATCTGTATGAGGAAAAGTGTCAGGGTTGCCATCATGAGAAGTAATTCAATAGTTGGTTACTTTCATCCTGTAGCAAACCCCAAAAATGTTTAACAAAGGAAAAGTGGAGAATTTCATTTATTTTACTCTTGTTAAGTTCCTTTTGAACTCAGGAGGGAAAACTATGATGTGAAATGATTTAGACACTGCAGATTTATTATTGAAAAGCTAAATTCATTCTTTACACTGCAGAGGTTTTCTCTAAATAAATCTTTATTGCAATAACCACAAAACTGACCAAACTCTTACCTAAGTGCTTTCTGTTTGTTAAAATAACCTCCCAATTCTCTTACAATAACTACTTTCCTACCCAGGATTCTTAGTATTAACCTTTTATATTAAAACACTACAAAAACATAGTGATATATTTAATTCCAATTTAGGCTTGTCTCCTGTATTTATAAAATTTCTCTATCTCTTTCAGGTCTTACATCTATATATCTGTGTTTCAGTTAAAGAATTTCCCACTGAGACATTATCCACATTTGTAAAATTCCCATTCCTATCTCCACTTCCATAGAAGCAAAGATGTGTACTATTCTCAGATTAAGGAATAATGTATTCCTTTAATGTAAGAGAATTTTGAGATATAATTCATGCAACTTAATATATTTTGATATTGTAATATGGACCAAACATCTTTTGAAACATATGTAAACATTCCTACTACTTGTGTCAAACTTAACTATAACTTAATAGCTAATTTTGAAAAATATATTAACATTGTTAAAATAGAAAATTATAAAAATATATTGTTATCAAACAATTCCTTAAGGGTTTATATAAATAAATAGAATAAGTGAATAAGGAGCCCTATATATCAGTAATACAAGTGCAAGCATAGAAGGGTTGAGTTCACTTATGTTAGAAGCTTTTGCATGGATGCTTACCGTGTGCCCCGTGCTGCAATAGGTGCTAGATCTAGATTTATCTGATGCCATCTGCCTCGATGTAATTAATCCACTTCCTTTCTCCTACTTCCCCTCTCAAAAACAAAGCACTTTTGGAATTGGCACCATTTTGTTACAAGGCAATTCTAGTGACTCAGTCTTTCCATAACATCTTTTATCAGTATCTTAGCTGTAGTGTTCTCCAAAGTGGTAGGAGAGAGTAATGAATTACTACCCAAGGCTTACATGAGGCACAGATAAATCTAATTTAATAAGTAAAAAACATTATTTTGTCTAAATATGCTTCCTGAAATCAGGTAGGTAATGTTACAGAAGTGGAAATAGATACCTACAGAAAGTAATCACTTTCTTTTATATTGATGATAGAACTTTACTTTTGTCTAATGTTCTTTTTCTAAAGCCCTTGGGTTTGCTCTATTACATTATTCAGTTCTCTATAATTTTCTGATTAATATTAAAAATAAATTTAAACTGTGTAATGTGCAAGAACATAAAGAGAACACTCCTTTGCAATTTCTGCACCCAGAGGAAACAATAATCAACATATTGTTGTAGATCCTTCCAGTCTGTTTTTCTATAAGTTATCATTTATCATCCATTAACTTTTTATTTATTTATTTATTTATTTTTGGCTGTGTTGGGTCTTTGTTCCTGCACGCGGGCTTTCTCTAGCTGTGGCGAGCAGGGGCTACTCCTCTTTGCGGTGCATGGGCTTCTCATTGCAGAGGCTTCTCTTGTTGTGGAGCACGGGCTCTAGGTGTGCGGGCTTCAGTACTTGTGGCTCGCAGGCTCAGTAATTGTGTCTCGTGGGCTCTAGAGCGCAGGCTCAGTAGTTGTGGCGCACGGGCTTAGTTGCTCCGAGGCATGTGGGATCTTCCTGGACCAGGGCTCGAACCCATGTCCCCTGCATTGGCAGGCGGATTCTTTACCACTGCGCCACCAGGCAAGTCCCTCCATTAACTTTTTGTTTTGACTTTCTGTGCGTTCCCTGGATTACTTCTTTTACACATATTTACCTCACACCTTTAAGTAGCAATTTCCAGGCCTTTCACCTAACTAAAATCCAGGTCCCTCTAGACAAATCCATTTGGTACCTCTAAAATACCTCCAAACACAAATTCATTATTTTCCTTCTTTCTTCTTGAGTTTTCCAGTTTGTCAGTTCTTGACGCTGTTCTTTTTCTCCCTCACACACTACATTGGTCACCAAATACTGCTGTTTCTATGAGCAAAATCTCTCCTTAGGGTGCTGTTTCTCTTCTGCCCCAGTCTCCAACCTGCCTTCAGGCTCACTTCCATCCATTGTCCTTAGATTTATCCTCTTAAAACAGACAGTTAATGGAGTTCCCCCAGCGGCTTCCCACTGATACAGGATAAAGTCCAAATCCTTAATGTGGCTGACAAGATCCTCCCATTTTAGCATCTCTCCTCCCCAGACTAGAGCCACCAAAAGAACTTGGACTAGAATTACTTTTGACTTGAGGTCTAATACTCCACCTAGTGGTATGGGACAACATTCTGGGATGGGAATCTAGGAAATATGCCACGTCAGCCCTATGAGATCAAGCAAACCTGCCAACACAGCTGTCTGTCAGCTAGAGTCAAATGCGAAAAGGGACAAGCAACCCTGGGACTCAATGGCCCACCTAGTAGTTTTCTATAAGCACTGGATTCTCCTAAGAAAATGCCTCAAACCTCCAAACCGTTGTTATCATTGCCATTCTTGAGAGAAAATGAAAAGCTACAATGGCATCTCTTTACTTAACTGTCACCAAATAAAATCACAGGATAATTCTGACTCAACTATTGTAATGTTGCCTATATCCTTCCAGAATTTTCATGAAACTCAAACGAATCACAGTATTCATTCATCTATGTACATGTCACCCACTCAATGCACATTTAAAGAGCACCTGTAATGCAGATACTACACAAAGCTAATAATACAGGGTCCAGCCTGTAAACAGGAGAGCAGATAAATAAATCCACGATGACAATGCAGAAGGGAAGTCTAACCTGTCTAGGGACAGGGAGGGCTTCCTGGAAGAAAAGATGACTGAGGGGATTTGGTGAAGTCTAGGAAGAGTTAGTTAGGTAAAGAGCAGAGTGAAGGGTATTGTTTCACATTCAAAGTGTTACACATGCAACAGAGCGCAGCACGTTAAAAAGCTATCCCAAAGCAGCATCTGCAGTTAGGGCAGCATCATGAAAAAAGAAATCTCAATGGAGAGGACTCTATCAACCTCCTTCAGGGAAACCCTACAGAGCAAAATGTCTCCATTTAAAAATACTTCTTAAGCAGCAACATTTAAAGTAGCATGAGAAAAGACAGTATTTTAAACTGTACAACTGTAAAAACCACACATTTTCAAATGTCGTTCAAATGTATACACTGTAAAAGATGTGAAATGCAATTTTCCTTACTCCTCTTTCCCTTTTAGGGATAATACTCAACACTTAAAATTTTAAGAGGAAGTTTAGTAATCACACAGAAGTCTCTTTCTATAGGTTGACAGTTACAGCTTTTTAAAATGCTGAATGGCTTCAGATTAAAAGCATCCATGAAGCTATGTAATATATGACATAATCACGGGAACCCACTGGAATACTACAAAGCACAGGCTTTCCACTGCAGATACCTCATCTGCCTCTGTTGGAGCAATGTCAGCAAAACCTCATTTATAACCATCCCAATGGCAGCCCACCTTTATCTTTGATGAGCACTAGTAGAGAGTTATATTAACACAGAGACGAGATCTGTCCCCCGGTAACTTTGGCATCAACTGGGACCAAGTTTGGGACCCTGTGGACCAAGTGCCTGCCACCAGCCCAGGTTTCATATACTGGACTGCAGTTTGTTCTCAGAGACCTCAGTCTTCTGTCTCTGAGCCTAGCAATCTCAAGTACACTGTAACCCATGTGCCACATCAAGTTTCATCTCCTGGTTCCCTTTCTTTGCACTCTTTTTTTTTTTTTTTTTGGCTGCATTGGGTCTTCGTTGCTGCGAGTGGGGGCTATTCTTCGTTGTGGTGCGCAACCTTCTCATTATGGTGGCTTCTCTTGTTGTGGAGCATGGGCTCTAGGTACACAGGCTTCAGTAGTTGTGGCCCACGCGCTCAGTAGTTGTGGCTTGTGGGCTCTAGAGCACAGGCTCAGTAGTTGTGGTGCATGGGCTTAGTTGCTCCGCGGCATGTGGGATCCTCCTGGACCAGGGTTTGAACCCACGTTCCCTGCACTGGCAGGCGGATTCTTAACCACTGCACCACCAGGGAAGTCCCTTTGCATTCTCTTTTGAACATACTCCAGGCCTGCATGTGATAGGAGCAGTAGGTATGAGATGGATGGTAAAGTAAAGCAGGATCATCACCTCCATCGTGCTAGACAAGCAACCTGTGCTAATGCAGCTTTAGATGCAATGACTATCCTCAGAAACTACATGATATTGTGGACTCATTTTAAGATTCCCCTCAGCTACAACTCTCAAGTCATCATCATCGTGGTCTTTTTTTGTTTAACCAATGGATGCTAGGCCATTTCTTCTCCATCTCCTATTGCCTAGGAAACAGTGCAGGCATTTCTATCAACATTTTTATGGACATGTCTATATTAAGAAAAATATTTCTCATACAAGAAAAGTGACCATTCATTTAATAAATATTTATGAGCAGACACAATGTGCTAGACACTGTGTTAGATGTTGGGAACATAAAATTAAACAAGACACACCAACATTATTCAGTTGTCATTCCCTTTAAACAAGATTATATATATATTTTATATATATATATCTTTACAAAATATTTATATATATTTATATAAATATAAATTATTATATAATTGTCATTCCCTTTACACATTATATATTATATATATACACACACACACATAGTAGCTGCTCAATAAACTGTTACTATTATTATTATATATTATGACCAGTTACAAATTATTTTTTAAAAACTATTACAGATTTTTTAAATGAAAATACTGCAAAGTTGCCACCAATACTCACCAATACTATAATATCTCTTTAGTTCTGTACGCCTGATCTCCTTTAACTGATTACTTTTTCTCTTTTTTTTCTCATCAGTAATATATTCCTCTTCCACAGCAATGTTGCACATGTCTTGTTCTAAAATGACTGTACTAGCATCTTCTTTTCCAGAATGAGTCCTTGTAGCCATAGCTGAGGCTGTCTCTGCATTTTGTTTGGCTTGCTTTTTCTTTTTCAATCTAGGGATGAGAAAAAAAAAAGGAAAAACATTGGAGAAATAATTTGCTAAGAGAAATCATATTAATTTCATGCTACTGGTCTTTGAGAAACTAATTAACTGATATTGAAAAGTCTTTATATTACTGTTAATTACACTTTCCTGTTATTTTTTCTTTTTTAATCACTTAAAAATTCTTATGTGGAGATCTGTGGCCTTTCCTCAATTTTATCTCCTCCATACTTATGTCTCAAAAAAAATCACTGGGAAATGCTTTAGACCTGAGGAAACACTAGATTCTTCTATAGGCTATAAAATGTTGGGTATTTTTAATCAAGATATGCAGCTACCCTACTACAATGCCATGTTTAGTGTGTTACATTTTTTAAAAAAGTGTTTCTGGTTTCAAGGGTACCTTTGGACTGATGGGCAAGCACATTTATAAAAACAAATCCTTTATAATTGGCTCACACACTGAGTAGAAAGGTTTGGCAAGGTATGAACTGGTTCAGGTCTGAGTAATTCCTTTCCTTTACACATGATAGTAGTAGTGAAGAAAGAGCTGCATTTCCTGAGATAGAAAATGCCACAATGAAACATATAGTCGTTATGATTACTAATAGCTGACTGATACATTAGTTAACATATTTGATGTTTTCAAGTCTTCATTCCTAAGTCAAAGACGTATAACAGAAGTTTATAATAATTCACTGAAATCCAGTAACTCAAAATATTTTCCAGTTGATGTATCACTCTGGTTAACTGGCGTGTCACTCTGTACTCACTAGTCCTTCGTAAGAATGTTTTTACCACCCCAGAATGTAAAGAATAAGGGCCTTGGCCTCTGCTATATGTGGCAGTCTGGTCATATATAAACATTTTTAAAATTAGGACCATTTTCCCCCCTTCTATCTAGGCACAGTTGGCTTCCTCACACACATGTCTATTTCCTTTGCTCTCTTGAGCATCTATACAATTTGATGCTGGGCAATGGATGAAATGTTTTGGGAGAAAAAGGAGATAACTGTAGGATCAAACAGGGACTAAGGTTTGATTTTATGCTGATTTGCTCTGTAATGTTGGAAAAATTAACAGTCTAAAGAGGTCCCTCACTGAGGCTTAGCTATCTAATGGGGTCTTTTATTAGGATCAATTGAAAAAATATGTATCAACAGTAAAATACAAACCAACAGAAACAGGAGAATATACCCAAATGCAATCATAGAACTATATAGAACGCGAGAACTAAGCATGGTACAGCTCATGCTTAGTTCAAAAAGTTCATGTTATAGTTCAAAAACTCAGCTTTTGAGATAAAGGTACCATACCATGTTCTAACAAAACATTTCAACTAAGCTGTTATTCACTGAGCAGCTAAGTTCTTATATTTTCATTAGCTAATAAATGAGTATATGGCCTAGGAGAAAGGAGAGCTGGAAAAAAGTCATAAATGAATATATTGCCCATCTCTTAGCTTAGCTCTCTCTTTAGGTTTACTTGTTAAAAAAAACAAATAAGAACACAAACTAAACAAAATTGGAAATTCATAAAAAGGAAGTATATCCAGGAAGCATGTTTTTATTTTCTATCCTCAGATTTTAAACTGTTTTTTTCTGGTAAAAGAGTAGGTGGCTCTTTGCAAAGGTGTGTCAGATAATGCTCCTAATAAAACAATTTCTCTCTCGATCAAGATTTCTGTATGAGGCTGAAATTAATATGCAGTAACCTGGATATCACACAGAGATCAGCTCTTTGCTTAGGGAGGTCTATGCAAAGAGCTGATCTCTGTATCCAGAAGGACATGCTGATCTTGTTCTGATATACTGGTTTAACAAAAACATGCTTGAGGTGAACGTTACTGCCCACTTCCCAAAATGATTCCTTCCAGGGAGGAGAGAAAAGAGACTTCAAAAATTAGTTCTATGCAGACTGAGATATGTTGCTGCTTCTTAATCTCCTGAATTTTTCTACTGTAAGTTAATTTAAATGTCCTTATTTCACTGTTCCCACTATAATTAAATTCACTCAGATCTAGGGCACATGTTTTGATGAACAGCAGCACTGTCGGAGACATCTCGTTAGAGGCTGATTTTCACACGCGGAAATAACAAAATGGGATACATTGTTTCACTCATTTCCCCCCCTTTCCACACAGACCATTATTGTCAACCCATATAGCCAAACATAGTTGTTATTTCAGAAAGGAGAAAAAAAAAAGCTAGATAATAGCAATACCAAACTTGTTTAACAGAAGACAGAGTACAATTTAACACTTCAGTAATTTTACAATCAGCTACATCTTTTGTTTTGACTAGAGAACTCATGAGAATTTGTTTCTCTGGAGGTTATCAATATGAGGGGAACATTCTGATCTTGTAACTGGAAATCAGATGTGAGTTCTGGAAGCCCACTGTAAAATCCTTCCCCAAAGCATGGAAATACATTGTTAATACTTTTCTAAGGGGGGATAACTGCCAATCTGATAAATGTGGTATAGTTAATGCTCTTCAAACATTCCTTTTTAGGGATTTTATCTTTAAAGCCTTCCCTTTTTTTTTTTTTTTTTTTTTTTTTTTTTTGCGGTACGCGGGCCTCTCACCGTCGCGGCTTCTCCCATTGCGGAGCACAGGCTCCGTACGAGCAGGCTCAGCGGCCATGGCTCACGGGCCCAGCCGCTCCGTGTCATGTGGTATCCTCCCAGACCGGGGCACGAACCCGTGTCCCCTGCATCGGCAGGCGGACTCTCAACCACTGCGCCACCAGGGAAGCCCAAGCCTTCCCTTTTGTTCTTCGAATCAGTATCATTCTAAGACATTCTCACAAAAGGATTTTATTACTAAATTAAGATAACTGGAAACAAAAAGTTACATAAGAAAATAAACTCCCTTTATTTCACCAAAACTTTTTTAATGGCCCCAAATGTACACATTTATATGGTGGACTAAAAAAATTACCTGGGGCTTCCCTGGTGGCACAGTGGTTAAGAACCCACCTGCCAATGCAGGGGACATGGGTTTGAGCCCTGGTACGGGAAGATCCCACATGCTGCGGAGCAACAAAGCCCGTGCGCCACAACTACTGAGCCTGCGCTCTAGAGTCTGCAAGCCACAACTACTGAGTCCACGTGCCACAACTACTGAAGCCCGCACACCTAGAGCCCGTGCTCCACAACAAGAGAAGCCACCGCAGTGAGAAGCCTGCGCATCACAACGAAGAGTAGCCCCCGCTCGCCGCAACTAGAGAAAGCCCGCACAGAGCAACAAAGACCCAATGCAACCAAAATTAATTAATTGAAAAAAAATTACCTGGCAAGTCATCTTAAACAGATGAGTGATTGAAAATGGTGAGACATATTTAACATTTGATTGCTGTGAATCCAAAAAAAACCCCAAAAAACCAAAAAACTAAAAAACAAAAAACGTTTTGTGATGCTCATTTGTCTTTTTAAAAAATAGATCACAATTTCATAAAACAAGTGTTTATTACACAATCTCCTCTCACTACTGTAACCAAGCCCTGTCAATTCTATTTCCTAAATCTCTCCCTCTCAAATACACCTCTTTTTCTTGGTCTCTGATCCCATGGAATGATTTCAGGCTTTCATCATCTCTCTGACTGAACTATTTTTTTACAATATAATTTATTGTTCTTTGTTTTATTATGAAAATAATATGTGTTCATACTAGGAAATTTTGAAAATGCAGAAAAATAAAAATAACACTTAAATCAAATGAAATGCTAACACTAAGAGGCAATCACTGTTTGGGGGAGAAAATGTAAAGGTAGGGGCAATTACACTAGTCAGACCTTCCCCAAGAGCAGAAGAATGAGGCAGTGTGGCTCACCATCATGATTCTGAGCTTCTTATACGTGCCTTTCCATAAAGGATATTAAAGGACTATATAAGATAAACAAGGACCTACTGTATTGTACAGAGTATAGTTATACTCAATATCTTGTAATAACCTATAATGGAAAAAATCTGGAAAAGAATATATAAGTATGTATGTACGTATAACTGAATCTGTTGTACACTTGAAACACAACATTGTAAATTAACAATACTCCAATTTTAAAAAAAGGAATACTAAAGGACTTATTTTGGAATCTCTTGGCTCTTTTTACATTAAAATTGTGTGCACTTGTAAGACACATGCACACCTCACTTTTTCCCCTACTCGTATCCTAATCCAGAGATAGCAGACTACAGAAATAAATAACGTGATACTGCTAAAGAAAGCATTTTTTAGTATCTCAATGAAAACTGTTTTCCTATGAAGCTTTTTCCTTTACTAAAGGAAATAAGTTTAGAGCACTGGCGGCCATCAAAGCCAAGGGCCTGGAGCAAGTTCCTTTCTTTGTCTCTGCAGAGGTCTTCCCTGTTGCTTGCTGACCGCCAGTGGAATGTAACACAAAAAGGCACCAAATGCAGAGAGGAGGTTTTCATTAGCACTAGAGTGAAAGCTTCATGAGGGCAGGGAATTGTTTAGGTTCTGTTAATGCCATAGTCCCAGGGCCTGTGCATGGTACACATTAGCTATTCAATAAATACTTCTTGAAAAAATAAATAGATAAATGAGGTTACGTTCTGATTTGTTTGAGATCTGCTCTCCTACAAACATGCCATTTCACAGCTTTCTTTGATTAGCAACATGTTCTCAAAAATAAACTCTCATCTCCTTATCTAGATACTTAAAAAGAAAATATATTAGCCACATATAATTAAAAATATATTAAACTATAGACTTCTTTCATTAATATTAACTTAGTGGCTCTCTATGACTCTTTCCTTAATTCCATAATTTGAGGTCCATGTGTTTCTATAAAAAGTGCCATAGACATAAATATCTAGCACAGCACTGTCTAATATGGTAGCCACTAACTAGCCACCTGTGGTTATTAAATGTAATAAAAATTAAATAAAAATTTTAAATTCAGTTCTTCAGTTACAAGAGTCATATTTTAAGAACTCAATAGATGCATGTGCTAGTGGGTACTGTATTGAACAACACATGTATAGAA